TCTAGGACCACGGAGGACACACTCTACACTATCACCCTAACGTGATCTATTCACCACACTGGTCTAAGACCACGGAGGGCCCACTCTGCACTATCACCCTAACGTGATCTATTCACCACACCGGTCTAGGACGTCAGATGATCTACAATTTAGTACTTATTCTCCACATTGACTGTAACACTGTCCTCTAAAGTTTACGATAAAGCCATTGTAAAACAATCAAGATCCTAGTGTCAACACACATACGATGCTTAGCATTGACATTCCGCTCCCTCATTATACAAGATTGATACTTAGTACTTACACTGCATCTCGACTGTATACAGCATTGATACTTAGTACTTACACAGCACCTCAACTGTATGCAACATTGATACTTAGTAATTACACTGCATCTCGACTGTATACAACATTGATACTTAGTACTTACACAGCACCTCGACTGTATGCAACATTGATACTTAGTACTAACACTGCATCTCGACTGTATGCAACGTTGATACTTAGTACTTACACTGCATCTCGACTGTATACAACATTGATACTTAGTACTTACACTGCACCTCGACTGTATGCAACATTGATACTTCGTACTTACACTGCACCTCGACTGTATACAACATTGATACTTAGTACTTACACTGCATCTCGACTGTATACAACATTGATACTTAGTACTTACACTGCACCCAGACTGTATACAACATTGATACTTAGTACTTACACTGCACCTCGACTGTATACAACATTGATACTTAGTAATTACACTGTACCTAGACTGTATACAACATTGATACTTAGTAATTACACTGCACCACGACTGTATACAATATTGATACTTAGTAATTACACTGTACCTAGACTGTATACAACATTGATACTTAGTAATTACACTGTACCTAGACTGTATACAATATTGATACTTAGTAATAACACTGTACCTAGACTGTATACAACATTGATACTTAGTAATTACACTGCACCACGACTGTATACAACAATTATGCTTAGTAATAACACTGTACCTAGACTGTATGCAACATTGATACTTAGTACTTACACTGCACCTAGACTGTATACAACATTGATACTTAGTAATTACACTGCACCACGACTGTATACAACATTGATCCTTAGTACTTACACTGCACCTCGACTGTATACAACATTGATACTTAGTAATAACACTGCACCTCGACTGTATACAACATTGATACTTAGTAATTACACTGCACCACGACTGTATACAATATTGATACTTAGTAATTACACTGCACCTCGACTGTATACAACATTGATACTTAGTAATTACACTGCACCACGACTGTATACAACATTGATACTTAGTAATTACACTGCACCTCGACTGTATAGAACATTGATACTTAGTAATTACACTGCACCACGACTGTATACAACAATTATGCTTAGTAATAACACTGTACCTAGACTGTATGCAACATTGATACTTAGTAGTTACACTGCACCTCGACTGTATACAACATTGATACTTAGTAATTACACTGCACCACAACTGTATACTACATTGATACTTAGTACTTACACTGCACTTCGACTGTATGCAACATTGATACTTAGTAATTACACTGTACCTAGACTGTATGCAACATTGATACTTAGTAATGACACTGCACCTAGACTGTATGCAACATTGATACTTAGTAATTACACTGCACCTCGACTGTATACAACATTGATACTTAGTAATTACACTGCACCTCGACTGTATACAACATTGATACTTAGTAATTACACTGCACCTCGACTGTATACAACATTGATACTTTGTAATTACACTGCACCACGACTGTATACAACATTGATACTTAGTAATTACACTGTACCTAGACTGTATACAACATTGATACTTAGTACTTACACTGTACCTAGACTGTATACAACATTGATACTTAGTAATTACACTGCACCTCGACTGTATACAACATTGATACTTAGTAATTACACTGCACCTAGACTGTATACAACATTGATACTTAGTAATTACACTGTACCTAGACTGTATGCAACATTGATACTTAGTAATTACACTGTACCTAGACTGTATACAACATTGATACTTAGTAATTACACTGTACCTAGACTGTATACAACATTGATACTTAGTAATTACACTGTACCTAGACTGTATACAACATTGATACTTAGTACTTACACTGCACCTAGACTGTATACAACATTGATACTTAGTACTTACACTGCACCTCGACTGTATACAACATTGATACTTAGTACTTACACTGTACCTAGACTGTATACAACATTGATACTTAGTAATTACACTGCACCTAGACTGTATACAACATTGATACTTAGTACTTACACAGCACCTCAACTGTATGCAACGTTGATACTTAGTACTTACACTGCATCTCGACTGTATGCAACAATTATGCTTTGCACTTATACTGTACCTAGACTGTAACATTGTCCTCTCCAGGTGGTGATATGTCACTGTACTTACACTGCAGCTCGACTGTCACACTGTCCTCTCTAGGTGGTCATATGTCACTGTACTTACACTGCAGCTCGACTGTCACACTGTCCTCTCTAGGTGGTGATATGTCACTGTACTTACACTGCATGTCGACTGTAACACTGTCCTCTCTAGGTGGTGATATGTCACTGTACTTACACTGCAGCTCGACTGTCACACTGTCCTCTCTAGGTGGTGATATGTCACTGTACTTACACTGCATGTCGACTGTAACACTGTCCTCTCTAGGTGGTGATATGTCACTGTACTTACACTGCAGCTCGACTGTCACACTGTCCTCTCTAGGTGGTGATATGTCACTGTACTTACACTGCATGTCGACTGTAACACTGTCCTCTCTAGGTGGTGATATGTCACTGTACTTACACTGCAGCTCGACTGTCACACTGTCCTCTCTAGGTGGTGATATGTCACTGTACTTACACTGCAGCTCGACTGTCACACTGTCCTCTCTAGGTGGTGATATGTCACTGTACTTACACTGCAGCTCGACTGTCACACTGTCCTCTCTAGGTGGTGATATGTCACTGTACTTACACTGCAGCTCGACTGTCACACTGTCCTCTCTAGGTGGTGATATGTCACTGTACTTACACTGCAGCTCGACTGTCACACTGTCCTCTCTAGGTGGTGATATGTCACTGTACTTACACTGCAGCTCGACTGTCACACTGTCCTCTCTAGGTGGTGATATGTCACTGTACTTACACTGCAGCTCGACTGTAACACTGTCCTCTCTAGGTGGTGATATGTCACTGTACTTACACTGCAGCTCGACTGTCACACTGTCCTCTCTAGGTGGTGATATGTCACTGTACTTACACTGCACGTCGACTGTCACACTGTCCTCTCTAGGTGGTGATATGTCACTGTACTTACACTGCAGCTCGACTGTCACACTGTCCTCTCTAGGTGGTGATATGTCACTGTACTTACACTGTACTCCGAGTGTAACACTGTCCTCTCTAGGTGGTGATATGTCACTGTACTTACACTGTACTCCGACTGTAACACTGTCCTCTCTAGGTGGTGATATGTCACTGTACTTACACTGTACTCCGACTGTAACACTGTCCTCTCTAGGTGGTGATATGTCACTGTACTTACACTGTACTCCGACTGTAACACTGTCCTCTCTAGGTGGTGATATGTCACTGTACTTACACTGCAGCTCGACTGTCACACTGTCCTCTCTAGGTGGTGATATGTCACTGTACTTACACTGCAGCTCGACTGTCACACTGTCCTCTCTAGGTGGTGATATGTCACTGTACTTACACTGCATGTCGACTGTAACACTGTCCTCTCTAGGTGGTGATATGTCACTGTACTTACACTGCAGCTCGACTGTCACACTGTCCTCTCTAGGTGGTGATCTGTCACTGTACTTACACTGTACTCCGAGTGTAACACTGTCCTCTCTAGGTGGTGATATGTCACTGTACTTACACTGTACTCCGACTGTAACACTGTCCTCTCTAGGTGGTGATATGTCACTGTACTTACACTGTACTCCGACTGTAACACTGTCCTCTCTAGGTGGTGATATGTCACTGTACTTACACTGTACTCCGACTGTAACACTGTCCTCTCTAGGTGGTGATATGTCACTGTACTTACACTGCAGCTCGACTGTCACACTGTCCTCTCTAGGTGGTGATCTGTCACTGTACTTACACTGCACGTCGACTGTAACACTGTCCTCTCTAGGTGGTGATATGTCATTGTACTTACTCTGCACGTCGACTGTAACACTGTCCTCTCTAGGTGGTGATATGTCACTGTACTTACACTGCAGCTCGACTGTCACACTGTCCTCTCTAGGTGGTGATATGTCACTGTACTTACACTGCAGCTCGACTGTAACACTGTCCTCTCTAGGTGGTGATATGTCACTGTACTTACACTGTACTCCGACTGTAACACTGTCCTCTCTAGGTGGTGATATGTCACTGTACTTACACTGTACTCCGACTGTAACACTGTCCTCTCTAGGTGGTGATATGTCACTGTACTTACACTGCAGCTCGACTGTCACACTGTCCTCTCTAGGTGGTGATATGTCACTGTACTTACACTGCACCCCGACTGTAACACTGTCCTCTCCATGTGGAGATATGTCACTGTACTTACACTGCATGTCGACTGTAACACTGTCCTCTCTAGGTGGTGATATGTCACTGTACTTACACTGCACTCTGACTGTAACACTGTCCTCTCCAGGTGGTGATATGTCATTGTACTTACACTACACGTCGACTGTAACACTGTCCTCTCTAGGTGGTGATATGTCACTGTACTTACACTGCACGTCGACTGTAACACTGTCCTCTCTAGGTGGTGATATGTCACTGTACTTACACTGCACGTCGACTGTAACACTGTCCTCTCTAGGTGGTCATATGTAATCGTGAAACTAAAGTGTACCAGTGTATACATATTTCATATTACATTTAGTACTTACAATGAACGTCAACTGTAACACTGTCTTCTCCAGGTGGGGGTACGCCATTGTCAGCAACACATCTGTACTGCCCGGAGCTAGACCTGTACACTGTGGGTATAGTGTAGATCCGATCTCTGCCAACAGTGTTCCCCCCATGGTACCAGGTATAATTATTTGGGGAAGGGTTGGCTGCTGTGACTGAACAATCCGCCAAAATGACATTCTTTTCGCCAAGGAGGAAAATGTATTCTGTGCAGGGTTCCACGAGTGTTATATTCACAGTTGGCGCATCTGAAACAATGTTTCGTTCCATTTGCAAAAATCTTTGAACATACGTATTTACATTACTCAATTCGTACACATCACCAAGTTTCTTCCTATGTGAGGCTCGGGGGATCAGGCTTGGTGACGTAGCTGTCATCATACCCCGACGGCGAATCTCATTACTCCTAACATCAATCACTGGATTATCTTGACCAGATTCGACAGGCGTTCTGTCGTATAGCTGGCTGCTGCTGATTGCGGCGTTGAGCAAAAACCAGAGCAGCAGAAACTCAAATATCCAGCTTGTGGAACTGCAGGGAGATATGCAATCGTAAAATGTGCTTGCGTGTACGACATATTATGTATTGGAGAAAACACGCTCATGAGGTTTTGGTAGACAGAGCATGCCCTGGGGAGAGGGAAAGACCAAGGGGGCGAAGCACCCGCGGTTTTTCCCGACCCCCAGGGCATGGTCTGTCTACCAAAACCGAGGGAAAGTGTTTTTCCACACTTATAAACCGAAAAAGGAAACTTAAAACAACATTTATCAACATTTTTATGTTTCGAACATTCTTTCCATGAACATTAGGAAACGCGCGTAAAATATCTGCGTACGGATCTTGAAAAGGACGTTCTAAACACCAGTGACGCTTATCAACACCTCTGTAGCCTCGTGGTACACTCACTGGGTGGAATATAAAGAAAACATTTGTCATTTGACTTTACATTTCATTACATGTTACAATCTGAACGGAAGTTATATTAATAAAATACCCAGGACATTACATAAAATCCCAGGGACATTACAACGTCCCTGTTTATGAGATGTAACCTGACTGGAAAGTAAAACCTCACAATAGGTCTTAATGCCTATAGAAAGAAGTCTCTTACCTAATAGCGATCCCAATGAATAGGTTTATAAGTTTGGTACTTACAATGAACGTCAACTATAACACTGTCTTCTCCGGGCGGTGATACGCCATTGTCAGCAACACATCTGTACTGCCCGGAGCTAGACTTGTACACTGTGGGGATAGTGTAGATCCGATCTCTGCCCACAAGGTGCCCCCTATGGTACCAGGTAAAGACTGACAACAAGGGGTTAGCTGACGTCACATCACAGGTCAAGGATGCATTGTTATCACCAAGTAAATATACGAACCCCAACTGTGAGTCGACAGGAGCTATAGCAACCGCAGGTGGATCTGAAATGAGTCACATATACCTATTATTATTACCATTGATAATAACAATGTTGCGTTTAAATTGTGTCGCCCTATTAACATGTGACTTAATTTTCGAAAACATTGTTGTTGATGTTCTTGGTTGTTGATGCAGAGGGTGGGTGGTTGTGGATGCAGAGGGTGGGTGGTTGTGGATGCAGAGGGTGGGTGGTTGTGGATGTAGAGTGTGGGTGGTTGTGGATGCAGAGGGTGGGTGGTTGTGGATGTAGAGTGTGGGTGGTTGTGGATGCAGAGGTTGGACGGTTGTGATGCAGAAGGTGGGTGGTTGTGGATGCAGAGGGTGGGTGGTTGTGGATGCAGAGGGTGGGTGGTTGTGGATGCAGAAGGTGAATGGTTGTGGATGCAGAGGGTGGGTGGTTGTGGATGCAGAAGGTGGGTGGTTATGGATGCAGAGGGTGGGTGGTTATGGATGCAGAGGGTGTGTAGTTGTGGATGTAGAGTGTGGATGGTTGTGGATGCAGAAGGTGGATGGTTGTGGATGCAGAGGGTTGGGGTGTTGTGGATGTAGAGTGTGGATGGTTGTGGATGCAGAAGGTGGATGGTTGTGGATGCAGAGGGTTGGGGTGTTGTGGATGCAGAAGAAGTGTGGTTGTAGATGCAGAGGGTGGATGGTTGTGGATGTAGAGTGTTGATAGTTGCCGTTGCAGAGGGTGGGTGGTTGTGGATGCAGAGGATGGGTGGTTGTGGATGCAGAGGGTGTGTAGTTGTGGATGTAGAGTGTGGATGGTTGTGGATGCAGAAGGTGGATGGTTGTGGATGCAGAGGGTTGGGGTGTTGTGGATGCAGAAGATGTGTGGTTGTAGATGCAGAGGGTGGATGGTTGTGGATGTAGAGTGTTGATAGTTGCGGATGCAGAGGGTGGGTGGTTGTGGATGCAGAGGTTTGATGGTTGTGGATGCAGAGGGTAGATGGTTGTGGATGCAGAGGGTAGGTGGTTGTGGATGCAGAGGTTTAATGGTTGTGGATGCAGAGGTTGGACGGTTGTGATGCAGAAGGTAGGTGGTTGTGGATGCAGAGGGTGGGTGGTTGTGGATGCAGAGGGTGGGTGGTTGTGGAGGCAGAGGGTGTGTAGTTGTGGATATAGAGTGTGGATGGTTGTGAATGCAGAAGGTGGATGGTTGTGGATGCAGAGGGTGGGTGGTTGTGGATGCAGAAGGTGGGTGGTTATGGATGCAGAGGGTGGGTGGTTGTGAATGCAGAAGGTGGATGGTTGTGGATATAGAGTGTGGATGGTTGTGAATGCAGAAGGTGGATGGTTGTGGATGCAGAGGGTGGGTGGTTGTGAATGCAGAAGGTGGATGGTTATGGATGCAGAGGGTGGGTGGTTGTGGATGCAGAAGGTGGATGGTTGTGGATATAGAGTGTGGATGGTTGTGAATGCAGAAGGTGGATGGTTGTGGATGCAGAGGGTGGGTGGTTGTGAATGCAGAAGGTGGATGGTTGTGGATGCAGAGGGTGGGTGGTTGTGGATGCAGAAGGTGAATGGTTGTGGATGCAGAGGGTGGGTGGTTGTGGATGCAGAAGGTGGGTGGTTATGGATGCAGAGGGTGGGTGGTTATGGATGCAGAGGGTGTGTAGTTGTGGATATAGAGTGTGGATGGTTGTGAATGCAGAAGGTGGATGGTTGTGGATGCAGAGGGTTGGGGTGTTGTGGATGTAGAGTGTGGATGGTTGTGGATGCAGAAGGTGGATGGTTGTGGATGCAGAGGGTTGGGGTGTTGTGGATGCAGAAGAAGTGTGGTTGTAGATGCAGAGGGTGGATGGTTGTGGATGTAGAGTGTTGATAGTTGCCGATGCAGAGGGTGGGTGGTTGTGGATGCAGAGGATGGGTGGTTGTGGATGCAGAGGGTGGGTAGTTGTGGATGTAGAGTATGGATGGTTGTGGATGCAGAAGGTGGATGGTTGTGGATGCAGAGGGTTGGGGTGTTGTGGATGCAGAAGATGTGTGGTTGTAGATGCAGAGGGTGGATGGTTGTGGATGTAGAGTGTTGATAGTTGCGGATGCAGAGGGTGGGTGGTTGTGGATGCAGAGGATGGGTGGTTGTGGATGCAGAGGGTTGGTAGTTGTGGATGTGGAGTGTTGATAGTTGTGGATTTAGAGTGTTGATAGTTGTTGATGCAGAGGGTGGGTGGTTGTGGGTGCAGAGGGTAGATGGTTGTGGATGCAGAGGGTGGATGGATGTGGATGCAGAGGGCAGGTGGTTGAGAATGCAGAGGGTTGATGGGTAGGTGGGTGGACACCAGAGAATCTACTTACACTTGACATTCAAAGCTACGGTGTTGCTTCTGCTTGTAGAGTACTGACAAGTCCAGGGAGCATGGTGTTCTACTGACACATTCCTGATGGTCAGAGAGTACGTGTGTGGTTGTCCGTCTTCGCGTGAACACAGGTACCTGGCGTTCTCCGTGGCCTGTCTCCCTGTATCAACAAACACACGGCAGACAGGGGACTGGGACCTCTCCCCCTTGAAGATCACCAAACCCTCCTCGATGTCCGTCGACACGTCACACGTGAAGTTGAACTGGTGTCCACGAATGGTGGATGCATTGACTGGTTCAAGCGTTATACCTCCACCTTCAGGAACACGAATGGTACAATTTGAAATACAGGCTCAGGAAGAACAACAGAGAATAATGATGCGCCGCGTAAATCGGGACTCAGTGAAGCGTAATAAAATCACTCAAAGATTACTCAGGAATTGTGGAACATTGAAGGTCTTCTCAACAAACTGGTGAGTGAGTGAGTGAGTTGGGTTTAACGCCGCTTTTAACAGTGTTACAGTTAGCTTAATGTGGGAGGAAAGCCCGAAGTGATGCAGGCCTCACACGTGAACCACGTGGGTTGAAACCCACGAGGAGGGTATGGTGCTGACAAACCTAGAAACATAACTGGGGCAAAAACCCACAATCATAGGTTTTTGGCGTGCCCAATGAAAGCAACTCTGCACGGCGAATCGCGGCGCCCTAGACGAATGGGCCACCCGTGCCCCCAACAGGTAAATGATGATTTTATTGACGATGTGAAAACATTAGGTTGGTTGACTGAGACACGGTTTCATAATTATGATGTATCGAAATATTTTATTGAATTTACCGTCTTCCCGAGAGCAAGAGCGTCCACTAGCCTTGTCTTCCAAGTCTTGTTTCCAAGTAGAACTAGGCTTTGATACAGGACCCGTGAAGATTCCGGGGTAGAATAGGTTTTCAGCAACCCATGCTTGCCGTAAAAGGCGACTAACGGGATCGGATGGTCAGGCTCGCTGACTTGGTTGATGCATGTCATCGATCCCAATTGCGTAGGTCGATGCTCATGATGTCAATCACTGGATTGTCTGGTCCAGATTCGATTATTTACAGACCGCCGTCATATAGCTGGAATATTGCTGAGTGCGGCGTTAAACAACAAACCAACCAACAACTTTGATACAGACTAGTGGACACGCTTGCCACGGGAAGATGGCCATCTACACACAAGGTGCTATAAGGGGCACGGGTGGCCCAGTCGTCTAAAGCGCCGCGATTCGCTGTGCAGAGTTGCGTCCGTTGGACACGCCAGAAACCTATGATTGTGGGTTCGAATCCCGTTCCGCCCCGATTATGTTTCTAGGTTTGTCAGTACCATACCCGTGCTCGTGGGTTTCACCTAAGTGGTAAACGTCTGAGACCTGCATCACTTCGGGCTTTCCTCCCACATTAAGCTGACACGCCGTGATATAACTGGAATACTGTTAAAAGCGGCGGTAAACCCAACTCACTCACTCACTCACTCACAAGGTGCTATAAAGTTTTTATCATGCGACCAAAAGGGTGGTGACGCAGATGTTATAACTGTACTTGTGACGAACTACATAAAGAAACATGTAGGTTTATTACTGTCTTCCCATATAGGTATTTGTACTTTTCTCGCTGTACATAAATAAACTAGTTCCCTTGAATACAGAGGAAATAGAGGAACCCCTCTCATTATATTATTTGCATTCATCGTACTTTTTGCCGATAACGTAATTGGACAACAAAGACATCTTAATACTTTCAATGTATATTGTATAAAATGAATGTCAATTTAGACAAAACGAAAATTAATATCACGGCGGAGGACACCAGAAATGGGCTTTACATGTCCATGTCCATGTCGGGAATCGAACCCGGGTCTTCGGCGTATCGAGCGAACATTTTAACCACTAGGCTACCCGACCGCCGCTTATATGCTAAAGCTTATCTTACAAACAATAATGTATTAAATATTAGACAGCATCTAGTACGACTAAGAACAGATGTGGCAGGGCTATAGACAGATGTTGGACGCAGAAAAAATATCCCAAAGAAAACCGAATGTGTCAACTTTGTGATTTGAATATCGTTGAAGATGAGTTTCACGTTCTTTTAACATGTCCATTGTATGATTGTAAGAAAAATGTATATATAGCCCCCAAATAATGAGAACTTTGTAATTGTGAACAAATCTGTTTTCTTATGATCGACACTATAAATATAATTGTTAAAACTTGGTCCAAAGTCTATAAAGGGCCGAAAATGTTTTCGTTAACGTAATCCACACTGTGCATGCATATCCACTTCTCACCATAACAATAACATTATGTAAGGTTTCTGGGTCTGTGGGCCTTTGGCCTTGGCTACAACAAACTGAATTGAACTGAACTGCATTATACATACAGCCTTGTATGTGCATCTGCCTTGTATGTGCATCTGCCTTGTATGTGCATCTGCCTTGTATGTGCATCTGCCTTGTATATGCATCTGCCTTGTACGTGCATCTGCCTTGTATATGCATCTGCCTTGTATGTGCATCTGCCTTGTACGTACATCTGCCTTGTATATGCATCTGCCTTGTATGTGCATCTGCCTTGTATGTGCATCTGCCTTGTATGTGCATCTGCCTTGTACGTGCATCTGCCTTGTATGTGCATCTGCCTTGTATGTGCATCTGCCTTGTATGTGCATCTGCCTTGTATGTGCATCTGCCTTGTATATGCATCTTCGTCCATAACATGGTGCATTCTTGATTCCATAATAATGCATATTCGCTCACAACATAATCTAACCTTGGTCATGACCAGGCATTCTGTTCTCCAACAATGCAATCTGGGACACAACAATGCATCCCTGCAAATTAAATGAGTAAGTGAGTGAGTTCGGTTTAACGCCGCTTTTAACAGTATTCCAGTTATATCACGGCGTGTCAGCTTAATGTGGGAGGAAAGCCCGAAGTGATGCAGGTCTCAGACGTTTACCACTTCGGTGAAACCCACGAGCACGGGTATGGTGCTGACAAACCTAGAAACATAATCGGGGCGAACCGGGATTCGAACCCACAAGCATAGGTTTCTGGCGTGCCCTAGGGACGCAACTCTGCACAGCGAATTGCGGCGCCTTAGACGACTGGGCCACCCGTAACCCCGCAAATGAATTGAAACATCCTCGACTTTCGAGACTTTCCTCAATCATTAGGCAGACGGACTTTGATATGCATGAAGTACTGTTAAAAGTGGAGTTAAATTTTGAGTAATTTCAATGGCAGTTTACGCTCCTGCCAAATTCGGTCATTAAATCATTTTGTATATATCATTTAATTGTTATATCATATCATGTTATATCATGTTATTGTTATACCATATCATTTTATATCATGTAGTGGTTTTATCATCTCATGGTATAATTCTTTTTCTCTTTGGCCGATGTTTGTCTCTAGGGTGGGTCGTCATGAGGATTTACAGTAAACTACGATTATAACGAACTCATAGGGACCACTACTCTTAGTTCTTTATAACCGTAGTTCGTTATAAGCATATACACAGCATATATACAACAAATGGACGGGACTAAAAATAGGTTCGTTATGTCGGTAAGTTCGTTATAAGCTTGTTCGTTATAAATGTATTTTACCGTACTCGAACTGGGCATGCCGTTAACTCTCCGACATATCTAAGTTCAAGATTAAAGGGTCTGTATGATGAGAAACATGTATGTATCTATGTTGGGGAATTCCCAGGGATGTCCTCAGGAATGTAGAAATAGTCCGTCCATACAATCTCTTGAGAAACGTATGAACGTCAAAATGTGTTGTTCATACACTTTTGAACGTCAGTTTGGCGATCATGTGGCCGATTTCTCGTCCAATGGAAAAGCGGTATGTCGTGCTAAAAACTGTTATTATGTAATGTTAAACGATGTAATGGTATGTGATGTGATGTTTATATTATATAATATTGATAACGTTTAATGGTTATATCATGTGATGGTTATGGGTTCAATGGTGTCCCCCGGCGTGATATGCCTGGGTTATTTTGCTGAAAGAGGCGTAAAACTATACTCACTCACTCACTCCACCATCCCCTCACTCACTCACTCACTCACTCACTCACTCACTCACTCACTCGCTCACTCACTCACTCACTCACTCACTCACTCACTCACTCACTCGCTGCAATGGTAATATCATGTGATGATATATCATGCAGTGTTTATATCATGTAACGTTATATCATGTTCTATTATGTCATGTAATGTTATGTAAGGAAATGTTTATATCGTGTAACGGTTATATCACGGAATAGTTAGAGCAGTTGTTTCACATAATAACAATCAGACGACGGACAAGGTTGTACATACTACTACTGCTGCTACTACTACTACTGCTACTACTACTGCTGCTGCTACTACTACTAGTGCTACTACTAGTACTACTAGTACTACTACTAGTACTACTACTGCTACTATTACTACTGCTATAACTACCTACTACTACTACTACTACTACTACTACCACTACTACTACTACTACTACCACTACTTCTACTCCTGCTGCAGCTACTACTATTTCTACTACTACTACTTCTACTCCTGCTGCTGCTACAACTACTACTACCACTACTGCTTCTACTACTAGTACTACTACTACTTCTACTACTCCTACTTCTACTTCTGGTACTACTACTACTACTGCTACTACTACTGCTATTAATATTACTGCTACTGCTACTACTACTACTGCTATAACTACCTACAGCTACTACTGCTACTACTTCTACCACTACTACAATCACTACTGCTGCTGCTACTGCTGATGCTGATGCAACTACTACTGCTGCTGCTGCTGCTACGGCCACGGCTACTTCTGCTACTACTATTGCTACTGCTGTTACTCCTACTATTATTCCTCCTGCTACTGCTACTACTGCTGATGATGATGCTACTACTACTTCTAGTGCTACTGCTGTTACTGCTACTGCTACTACTACTGCTACTACTACTTCTAGTGCTACTGCTGTTACTGCTCCTGCTACTACTACTGCTACTTCTAGTGCTACTGCTGTTACTGCTACTGCTACTACTACTGCTACTACTACTTCTAGTGCTACTGCTGTTACTGCTCCTGCTACTGCTACTGCTACTTCTAGTGCTACTGCTGTTACTGCTACTGCTACTACTACTGCTACTACTACTTCTAGTGCTACTGCTGTTACTACTACTGCTACTACTACTTCTAGTGCTACTGCTGTTACTGCTACTACTACTTCTAGTGCTACTGCTGTTACTGCTACTGCTACTACTACT